TTTGTGTTATATAAATTTTTCATTGAATATTTAAAAGTTTTGCAACCTTTTTTGTGCTTTTAGTCATATTCTTGGCTCAAGTGGAATGTATTTGTTTTGCCAACCTCTGTTTTTGGTCTGATTTTTCTTAGATTCCAGAGCTCCAAATCTGGAAAGATATACTTGCACAACGATATCCGGCTGCTATTCTCCCGCAAATCCATCGAAGTGGACACGGGGATCCCATATGAGCTGAAATCTTTCACCGAGGTGCCAAGAAACCCCAAATACTCCCCCCGTGTGTGATCCCAGCTTGACCTTTTGACGTTCCGTAATGCCAACGCAGTCCCTCGTGTGCTTCCTAAAGAGGAGAGGGGAAAGTGACTTCTAGAATATTGGATATAAAATTTTGAAAAGACTCATGAGAAATACCAGAAGCACAGAAGACACATGTGCACATATGTCAAAGTGTTGGTATTTGGAAAAGACCTGCTTTTTATGCATTTATTCTCCACTGAGAGCCCACATGCAGATCGAAAATGTCACAGGAACAAGCATGGGTTTCTTTGCACCTTCAGTTGCTGAAAAGATGAAATCTTGGTGTCAGGGCAGTCTAGCATGGATGGTATTAAAAGCAGGACTTTTCCAGGACCTTAATCTGTTTAAAATAAAAAAGTTTTAAAAAAAAAGTTTAAAAAAAATGCGCAAACACTGACGCAGACACACAAACACACACCAAAATAGACTGACAACACTCATGCCCGGGACATGATACAAGCATAACAGCAGAAACGCTTCTGGTGGTGACTCTGAGTTCAGTGTTAACATGCATGCCTTGTGACTTAAACACCTGAATTTTCCTCTAGTGCCGTATCACACTGTCCTTCACTCTGCCTGCAGCTCCAACTGCCTCATTGGACCAATAATTGTAACAGCCATTTAAAAAAAAAGGAAGAAAAAAAAGCCGTAAACAACAGTCCCATCCCCTGATCGTGAGGGTTATTTACCTTCTGAGGAGCAGAGAGGAGATGAACAGAGACACAAACACTAGTGAAAGCAAGGGCTGAAATTGAATCGGCCACTTTGATTGGATGTCTCATGTACAACACGACATGACAACAACACGGCGACATGATCTGACCAAACTCAGGACATTTGTTGAAGAAAGGAATTCTCTTCTTTTTGTTTTGTTTTTGTCTATCTGTCACGGTACAGACCACTGTGTATACATGCGAGTTTAAAAAAAACAAACAAAAAAAAACAATGAAAAAACTAAAACTTGGGAATCCACTTCATTGTATGTAGCCAGACTGAGGGACACTGTGCTGTTTTCTTTTCTTTTTTTATTTTTTTTATTTCCTCCTGTTTAGATACTGTTCTCTGCAGTCAGATGTTGGAGCAGAAATTGGGGGGGGGGAAGACAAGCTGTAGTTTTGTTTTTCTTTTTTTTTTAATTTATGTTTTCGCAAATGTCTTAATAAGCAATATGCTGCACAAAGTAGAGTGTGTTTTTCAGCCAGACAAGCTTTCTCTCTGGAGGCAGAACAAAGAAAGCAGAGAAATGAGGGTGAGGGAGGGGAGGAATAATGAGGGAGGACGGGTTGTGGGGTATTTAATATGAGAACGGGATAGTCTATGTATATTTAAAATAATAAACTCTGCGACTGGCAAGTAAAGCCCCAGCGTCGTCTCCTTGTTTGAATGGCATTGCGAAGACACTTCGTTTTTATAACATTATGGCTGATGTTCACACTCATACTGACTTTGCCATGTGAAATGGTTAAAGGTCGGGATGTAACTATAGTCTATATCAAAAGTATCTGTGAAGGTTCTCAGTCATCCAGGTCATCGTAGTCTAAGGAGCTTGGAAAGAAAAGCATCTGGACTTCTTTAGGTTGCTTGAAGACGTTTCACCTCTCATCCGAGAAGCTTCTTCAGTTCTAGGGTTCAAAGGGACTAAATAAGTCCAGACGCTTTTCTTTCCAAGCTCCTTAGACTATATCAAAAGTAGTTTTCCTCATCAGTCACAATGCAAATGGGATGTTTAAATAAGGGGTTGCACTCATAGATAATACTGTCAGATTTATCACTGCATGTCAGGTGTTCAATATTTACTCTCAACTGGCATTGCAGAAAGTATTCAACTTTCCGGCAGATCCCTCTCTAGGGTTTATGAAGAGCGGTCTGAAAAAGAGCATTTCTCTGAGCAAAAGAAATGTCCGGGAATGCCCGTATACGATATAGTATACGGGGAAACAGCTGAGTAGAGGTTGCAAAACAAAGCCTGAGCATAGTTATTTCATCCATCTGAATCCAACGCTTGCAAAGTGTTTACTATCCTGCATGAGAGAATTCTTCAAGCTGTAATGTGCTGAGTGGCTAAAAACAGACTGCCTTTGCTGTTCTGGGCAACTCTGCAAATATGAATGTCAAACTCTGTGAATGCTATTCACACAGCACTACTGAAGGAAAAAAAAATCCATGGCTTGTAAGTATTCCCCTGGTAAAAATACTGAAGAACCTCTATATATATCACACCAACAATACAAGCAGTCATTCCTGAAATACACTGGTTATAGTGTGGGAAGATTTTGGAGAGGAGAAAAAAGCATGCAGTGATCCTACACCTTATTCAGGAAAACACTGAGTGTCTGCACCTAAAGAGTTTATTTGTGCTACTGCTACTGCCCATTACCTCTCCCAAGGTATGGGCTGCCAAAGGTAGATCTCCAGAGATTTTAATCCTTCCTTACGGTGTCAATAAATACATTAAAATTAATGTGGGGGATTCAAAGGCAGCTTGCCTCTTTTTCACATTGGTTTGAATGCATCTTTAAACATCACAAAGCAGACAAATTAGATTTACCTCCGTGTAACTTACAACAAAGCATATTGGATGGATTAAATGAAGGTGAATAACACCGTTTAAATTTTAACCGGATTTTATAATTTGGCTAAATTTTTTTCAGAGACTTCTTTGATTTTCTTTCTTGTTTAATACATTTGCAGTTTCAGTTTTGCATTGTGAATGAATTCCTGGAAGAATCCCTGAAGGAGAACATGTGAAAGTACCTCTTCAGCCTGTTTCACTGGGTTTGCAACACTTGTGTCAAAGTATTTTTGACCCCTGCTGGTAGGAGTCAGTACTGCAGCTCCACCATAGGCACTGGCAGGAGGCCTATGAAGTGCTCAGGTTTTCATTGACTTGTAGCTTGTCAGTGCGATTCAAACTAAACCACGTATAGATAACTTCAGAATTTCTTTTCCAGCTGTACCTTGCATACAAATGATGTAACCTCTTTAAAACTCAGATCATCATCTTTTATTTTATGCCGATTGCCATAAAATCCTTTATAACTCTTATGTTGCTGATAGGGACTCATCACACAAACCTTTGCACCAGTATTTCCGAGTAAAATTTTATTGCTCCATGTGCCATTACACCATCCAATAGCATCAATGGAAGTTTTTTAACCATTCCTTTATGGGCCTTAAATCCAGTTTACAATACAGCATTCTGTATGTTTGTTTTTCCTAATTATGAGACAGTTGAGAAGTTCAGGGGTACAACTTCGTGGGGCGCTTAACAAATAATAAAGTCTTGGCACATTCTCATTACATATGTTCAGCTGTTACTGTTGTGAAAATATTACTGACAAATGTGTGGGAGGAAAATGGCACCATATGCTCAAGACTCAAAGCTTTCTTTTGAAAAGTAAAGACAATATTTCTATCATACATTTATAGGATACAAAACCTAGTTTTCTACCAAAGAAACCAAAACCATCTTTGCATTTGTAACCAAAAGAGAAAAATTAAAACTGTGGTCTAATCTCCTTTGATAAGATGTTCCTGCCTCATGGTGACTAGTGCCCCAAACACATTTGCCTTTCAAGTTTTCTTTCCTCCATTTTTATTCATTCATTTCTCAAAGACTGCATAAAGTAATCAAAAACAAAACCAACCTCTATTAACAACAGCTGGTATACTTAATCTTGCTTAAAGCCATTGGCATTTTGATTAAATTCCTGAGTTAGTGCAGTTACTTCCTCCAAGTTTGAGTCTGCATGTCATCAGTCAGTGTGCTGGCGGCACCCAGTATGGCTTGGCTTAATACTGACAGGTGGTAGTGAACTTTGTCCCAGTCGCTGGCCTGCCCTGATGACTCAGCATTAGCATAGGCATCAGCTAGACCTGGGAAGGTTTGTTTGCCAGCACTGCTTGAGGCCCAGATAACATGCCTGTGTAACACACAACAAAATAAAGATTAGCTCAACAGTGTTATTAAATGTGTTTCTGAGTTACAATGAAACAAACAATTGCTGTCACTACACTTGGTATCTCTTGTCAAAAGACTACTAAATGTAACAATCAACAGAGCATAACAGCAGCCGGCCAAGATTTAACCTACTGGCACTGCCATATTCAAATCACTAGTACTGTTAAAACACATTGTCTTAATTCCATGTGTTTACCTTCTGCATATTGTTCACTAGCTTCTCCCAATGGCTCCTTGCCCCAGAAATACCGTACTACTGCATTCCATGTTTGTGTATCACTGTTACTTCTTTCACTATAGGTATTAACAACTATGCCAGCTCCAGTGGCTCCATAGACTTTTGCTGTTTGTGGGGGTTAAAAAGTTACTTAAGGCCTGAGGCCTTATTTTGGTCCTATTTAAGATAGTAGGCATAACCACTGTAATCATGTCTTGATTAACATGTTTTATTAACAGTGGGACTTCACTAACCCCCACAATCCTTCTTCTCTCATTGTGTACTGTGTCCTGCATGACACAGAAGACTCCACTAGGCACTATAATTTTATTATTTTCCAAAGCCACAGAAATCTCTGCGCAATCCACTGGGCCACATTCTTACCTAAATCCATATTTATCTGGGAAAGCCAGAGGGTCCAAGAAAGCTCGATCCAGAAGCATGAGTTGGTCATTGATCCATCTAACCCTAAGCGGCCTGAGGAAAAAGACATGGTAAAGCAAAGGGGGCTGGTATTCATTTCTGTTTGGATGGATGTGGATATGACTGTGCACATACTGTATGTAATGTGTGCACCTACGTTTCATTTGCCAGGTCTGGACCTTGAATCACCTTCTCCAAATTAGAAACTGCAGCACGAAAGCTGGTCACTGCATGTTTAAGGGGTTCTGAAACGAGATACAGATGATTGCTGTCACCCAGTGATGATTGTATTCTTTTATTCTCTCTAATTACACTTGATTATTGGGGTAGAACATAGATATACAAGACAAAACATAGATGCACAAGACACTTTCAGAGGGTATCATTAAAGTATAAGATGTGTTACCTAGCTCCAAAAAGATCCCCTCCCCCCACATCTCTCAAAAGATCTCCTGTACTTACCCATTGAAATGTTCATAGTTTTAAGTTTCTGCTCATATAGGTTCAAAGCAGTGCTGAGGTATTCCTCCAGACTTTCAGCATAGTCAGTGCAGTTTAATGGCAGGATCAAGCTATCAGCCAGTCGGATCAGGACATTTCCTGCAGTCCTGGCTACAGCTTGATGACCGACAAAGCCTACAAGAGAAGGTATGAGCTAATGTTATAAAGGAATAATTTGATTCTTTTCAGCTAATTATTTATTTTCAGTGATCAAATCTGAAAACAGAAAAACCACAACTTAGAAAATATTTTCTTGAGAAATGCAACGCTTTTTCTTTTTCTTCCATTGCTGGCAAAATATTTTCCTGTCATAGCACTATGACAGGTAAGGGGTTAGACAAGGATTCATTTATTCTACTTACTGTGCAAGAAGTAGACTACTAGGGGGGGGAAAAAAAAAATTCTCACCAGGATCAATGTACTTTGAAGCATAGTCAAAAGTGTCATATGCTGTGTGATATGCAGGATAAATCCGAGCATTTGTTTTAGTCTGTGTGAAGACAAATATATATACAATAATAGTTACAATATTATCTTAATGAGCTCAGTTAACACCTGCCTTCTCCTAATATATGTGAATGCCAAAATAAAACACTTTTTGCAGCTTATTTTGGTTTAAAATGTACAATGAACAACTGGCTTCAATGACCAGAGCATTTAACTGTATCTATCATTCTTATTTTTAATACACAATCAGTACACGCTAGTTAAAGCACATTTACTGCGACTGCACAAAAAGGCTCTAAAAGCAAAACTGTGCAGTATTATTCTGTCTATGTGTCAAATCGTGCAATCGTACATCTTTAGTACCTTGTCAT